ATTTGTTTTTGAGCAGTGCCAGCCATTATATTATGTGTAACGTAACTTCGATTTATTTGAAGTTATTTAGAATTAAATGTTTTCATATTTCTTCTATTCGGTTATTTATAAGGAAAAAACGAAATATTTAGGAATTTAAATTAGCAGGTTCGAAATTTTGAAAGTTCTACCATCTAAATGAATATTTTTAGTTTACTGCAATCTTTTTTTCCAGTACGTTTATTTTAGATGGAACCCAATGAAGATCTCCCTCAAAGAACGGCAGGTTCGCGTGAAGCACAGGAAGGCAATGCTGAGGAACGCGGAGGCAAGAGCTGCCATTGAAGCGGAGAAACAAGAAAAACAAAAGGAGCAAGATGAATCCGCGATGGAAACATGAACTTTTAATTAGATTGACTGAAATGTTTAGTTCAAATAAATATTTCTTCTGTCCATGTGGTTTTTTGAGAGAAAATTTCGGTTCAAGACTGATCACAGTTTCCTGAAGGTCTTAGCGCATTCAGTCGTGAGGCCTGAGCACTCTTCGTTGTTGAGTTCTGGTGTCGAACTGCTCTTCGCCGATATTTGCTTTGTGTGAGGAGTTGAGTATCAGATTCAGGCAGCAGGGATCTCATAAGGAACGTGATCGTTTTGCTCACAAATTTTACATGCTGTTAATTTTAATCGGTAAAAGAAAATGGTTTCTGGGTATTCACAGTGATACGCTCACATGTTATGAACGCATTCAAGAACTTTATTTCTGTATCGAAATTGGTTTGTGGGTGTATTTCGGTGCCTCGAAAATTGAAGTCATGCATGCCTTTGTATTGAGGTATTTTTACACACTACTGTTGTCACAGATACAGTATTCGCCTTAAAGCAGTTTCACTAAAGGACGACGGACGATGCTCTACTTTGATACAGATTACCTTGAAGGTCGAACGAGTTTTAATGCTCCATAAAAATTGAGCTTGTTTTTATGGATGTTGGTAGGAAAATGTACGTTTCATTTTAAGTGTAAATTTCAGTGCATAACTCTATTGGCTGTCCTCGATAATAAGTGTAGCACGTTTCCCATCTTAGTTTTGACGTTATAGTCTGATGTTCGACAGCGATTACGCGTCGTCGCTCACAGAGCATCTTATGCGCCGCGACTATTCTCTACGGTAAAATTTTTGGATGTTTTCGTGGGTGGCATATTTGTCAAACCTCATCTTCCGTACGACATGGACATCATCCCTTTATAATACGTCAACGAATTCAGTATTATTACCCAGTTGTCGAGGATTTGTAGACTATGTTCGTGGTTTCGCTTGCTTTAACCATCGATGTTTTAGCTGTTATTGCTT